AACTATCATAATAATTAACTATAATTTTTGATTTTAAATATCATGTAATTTTTGTTTTTGAATTTTTTATCATGTTGTCTGTAATTCATAAGGGCTGGTTATTTTATTAATTTACATTTATTTTAACAACTACATAAAATCATCAATTAAAAATAAATTAATTCATCAAAATGTTTGAATAAAATAATAAATTGTTTAATATCTAAGTACGCGACCGCTGCAGGCAGAATAATGCAATATCCGACGGTAAACCACGGTATTCGTATTAAGATGATAATTAAAAATCACGGGGCCCTTTAACAAGCGCGGGGCCCTGGACAAATGTCCCATTTGTCCTCTCCTAGCGCCGGCACTGTCCATAACCCTGAACCCATTATAAGTTTTTACCTGAAGATTGTTAATTGTTATTGTTATTAATTTTTAACATTTAAACAATCATTATATATTATAATTTATATTATTTTTGTAATTTATGTTATTCGATGGATTCCAATTTTCATTGATTTTAAATATTAGATATTTGTGAAAACAATACTAAAATATAATAACACGTAAGTGGATTGTGCTGAAGCTGATTGTAGGTCTATAAGCAATATAACTATTAAATCCAAGACTAATGCAAAATAAAATGTGTTTAGCATAGATCTTTCTTTAAATCTTATACTAATGAAAAATCAAATTCATTAAGTTTTTCGTAGACATTTGTTTTGTATTGGTACCTACCTACATACATTTTTTTTCGCTCTAATTTTGAACGACTTAGAATTCAATCACGAATTTTGTTGAATAGTTACACTAGGTAATTCAGTATGACATTGTGACCTAGTTAAAATATTGTGTTACGTTTTTAAACGTTTATCGTCAGTCAGAACTCAGAATATTGCTTATCTGTTGTAAAAAGTCTGAATACCTACGAGGCATTAATTGTATTTGTTTGTACTACAATTCATATACGTACCTACCATATTATGTAGAACCATTGATATAAATATTAGTATTTATAATCAATGGTACAACGTGATAAAAATCGTAAATTCGACAAAAGATGTACGGTAATTTTATTACCTACTCTACAACGGTCAACATAAAGCAATATTAATATATTATAGAGATTTATAATTTTCAGCAAGGATGTAGCACACCGTTTGTTTTCTCTCTCCAACAGTCCGACCCATGCACAACATCGACAGTACCTAATACCTATTTTAATTCAGCAGAACCAATCTTGTATTGTTAAAGCTTGAATATTATTCTGAATATTTACCTGATACAAAACTTGAAGCTTAGAATATTATCTGTTTTTGCATTAGATTTTACAATACATACATTTTTTGCAAATTATGACTTATGAGTAGGTACCTAATTATGTATAATATTACAGTTTAGATAGAATATCGCAAGAAATTGGAATAACTATTGTGGCAAAACCAACTTAGCCAACATACACACATAGATACCTATTATTCTTAACTGTATATTATTGATATGCATATGGATATGAGTATATATGACTATGATATTATACAATAGTTTGACAATAGATCAATTTACTCGGTATTACCTATTAAAGCTAATAACTCAGGTACTGTATTAGCGTAAAGATCAATGACAGAAAACAAAGTGAGATGACATACCTACTCTCAAGAGGACGTCACACCCGCATGTGTTGTCTCCGTCTTACAAATGTACAACATAGCAAAAACTGTTTTGAGCGAGACAACTTTTATCTTTCTGTGTTTGTGTAGTGGTTCCAAAATTGCTAAACATATATAGAAAATTATCTATGCTACAGAATGCCTATAGATTTAGATAACATAAATACAATAAAAGTAATTTGCTTCTAAACATTTTGTTTTTTTTTTCATTTGTTAATTTATTGTTATATAAAATGAATGGATAGTGCTATTAAAAAAAAGCAAGCTGTTGCACAGACCAAGTTCATCTTTAAGTGTTGTGAAAATTTGGTAGATCTACAACAAATATAAATATGGTGCGAGAAAAGTTGTCCCTTGCAAAACAGTTTTTGCTATGTTGTACATTTGTAAAAAGGAGACAACATATGCGGGTGTGACGTCCTCTTAACCATAGACCTAAGCTAATGGATAGCAAACAGCACTTTCCACATCGCCATGCCCTTGGTAATCCAGACGTCGTAATGGCCTATGTTTTAGCGCCCGTTAAGGCCCAAAACCTCTCTTTTCTCTCTCAACAATCCCATCTGGTAATTTCTCTCTCTATACGCTGTCATTAGTTTATATTATGCTCTTCACAACTTGACTTCCAATTTACACATTTTATGTTCAATTATTGTATAAATTTCAAGAAATGTCGTTCGTCTTTAGGCTACTATTGTATACCAAATATTCTGCGAAGGCTTTTGCTCCACATCATTTGATTACGTTTTACATTTATGCACAGGAATTGAAGAGATAGTCACTACTGATTGAGCATATTATACCACTTCTAGATATAGATGAAGTTCATATATAAACCCTAACCATCATATAATCATTGGTTTGTTGCAGTACTCATGCTCATGCACTCTTTAGTAATTATTAATACAAAATCAGTAGTGTCTTGTGTCTAATAATATAACAGTTAAGAATGTTACAAATGCGTAATATATCAAATTGTACGCTCAGCAGAACATATTAAGCTCAGTTAGTTAAAAAATTAGAGGGAATTGACCTCTTATAAAATTTAAAGGTAAGATTATTATCTAGTCAATCTTATGGGATTTTATTATATTTTAATTTTAAAGCGAGTTTTCAGTATTTTAAAATTGTAGGTTCAATACACTCTAAATTTTAAACTAATGGAGCCAAAATATAACAAATGTCGGTGTAAGTGTGTAACGTCCTATTAATAACTTACCAACAGTTGGAATAATACATAGTACATGCAATTAAGTTATTAACATGATACCACAAAATACAAACTGGTTTAAAAAGACATTGCTAAATGGAGTCAAAATGCAATGCAGATAATATTATCATTAATATCTTCAAAGTATTTAACCACCAATTAACCACCAATTAACCACCACATTTTAATACTTTGTGTAAAGATAACTTTTTCTAAGTAAAATTTATATTAACTGGATAATTAGTTTTCTATTTGCAAATATGAAGATACTTATAATAATAATAATAATATCAAATTCACAAGATTTTTTGTATTTTTATTATATTAAAAAAAAATGATAAATTTGAAACTAAACATCAAAAAAAAAAAAATTATAATAATAATAAATATTATTTTTTAAATTAAATAGTAGTAGTAAAATTATGTTTTCACCTAAAAATTAGCTAAAAATGTACATATCACGAACATAACAATATTTTTTACTCGAAAAATTAAAAAAAAAAAACATAATGTTATACAATATATTTATATTACATAAGTATTTTGTACATCACAAGCAATTATTTTGTTTAACATATTTTGTGAACTGTAGATAATTGAATGCATATGCTTACATTAATCGAAGCTTTTAGTTAAACTTCTAAAATCAGTTTATTTTCCAAAATGCGGTAAATAACTATCAACCCATTGGGTTATTGTACATTTCGCACTAGTAAAACCAGGTTGAAATATTTAACATTTATTCATAGTACACTTGGATGAAATTACTCATCAACTGTTTATGAACTATTATTGGAATAAAATTGTTCGATAGTAAACCATAATTTAAATGTGTAGTTCTTTTATTAAAGAATAATAAATATCTTAAAAAAAAATAAACTGAAAACCAAATTATAAGATTAGCATGAGAAATATTAAAATATTCACATATTCACATTTTTGACGATTAAGTTTTACAGTTATCGTTAATTCAAATTAAACACTTAATTCAATAATAATACAAAACAACCAAAAAATTTGTATTATTTTTATTTGGGATATAAATAACAATATCTTATTCAATATTACATCAAATTAAAACCGAAAAATATTTAAAATTAACTGTTATATTAAATTTTAAAAAAATAATAAAAATAGAAAGTACATATTTAGATTGAATTTTAACAGAGCAGTAATCTCACCCAAGTAATAAATATATTCTGAGTAACAAAATAATAATAATAATAATAATAATAATAATAATAATAATTAAATAAATAGTATAATAATTTTATTATACAATCTGGACGAACCAAGTGCTTGAACTCAGAAAAAAAATTTTTATTAAAAAAAAATATACTTAAGCTCTTTTATGGGCAGTTATAGGAAAAAGTAAGTGAGGTATTGATTGATGTGTTCCTGAACCAAAACTTAATTGAAATTAACATAAATAGATTTACATATATTTGTTTTTAATATAAAAGTTAATCGAAACGGTATTTTATTTAATTATTTACAGGAACTAATGTAGGGCGCATTTATTTTATATTATAAAAAATTACTACTTAGGTAACTTAAGTATTATTTTTTATTTGACATAAATAATTAAAAATTTTGTTTAATAAGCAAACCAATCAAATAAATCTATACTTCTGAGTCCTTATTTTTTTTGAACAAGAGAACGTGAATGTAATTTACTTGATAATTATTTATCATATACATTTATATATTATTTTTAACAAATAAAAAAAGCAATAAATGAATATTATACTGTCTTACTGTCTAGTGTCAAGACTAGTGTCAACAATTGAAGCATCTTGGCATCATATTTTTTTATTGATCGTTGACGGAATGCACAGGTGACCAAATGCTAACAGTCTATTATATGTTATTTTAATATATGTTTTTTTTCTTTTATAGATATAAGTATATTGTAGCCTATTAATTTAATTACAAAAAAAAAAAAAAAAAAAAAAAAGGAAAGAGATGTTTCAAAATTAAATACAAAATAATATTTAATTATTGTATTGGATAATGCAATCTCACGTAATGGTCGGAACGGGAACATTTAGGGCACTGTCACGCGAGTTAGAGTGCGAGGTGGCGCGTAACAGCGTGACAGCTTCTCGTTCAGAGCTGCATTTAACCACTGTTAGTCACTTAGGACGAGGAGTTTTCTTCTTTTTACGTTTAAAAAAACAACAACATCTATAAATGATATTTGGTTTAGATAAAATATCAAAAATGTATGTACAAAACTATTCATCATACTTAGTATCATCAACAATTTCTGTTTCAGCTTGTGCTGTAATAGGAGTATTGGAATGGCCGGCAGTTGGATCATCATTTGCCAATTCACCATTAGTCGAGCTTACTACCTTTAAATATAAAATAAATGCAAACAAATTATAATATTTAGTAAAACAATTATTCTAGATTAAATTACTTGAACACTTCCATGACGATCAGCGGGGGTTAAGTTTCCTAATGTGTGACCTGGAAGCTTTGACCCATCTTGCCAACCTTTTGTTCCAGACTGAAAAATGTATAATAATGTAAAAATTAACAAAAAATGTAACAATGAATCTTATTACTAAATTTTTAATAGCATTTATCAAAAGATGACAATTTGTTACAGTAAAAACATAATTTTTACAGGAACGATTCTACTGGTATTAAATAAATTAAATGAATATTATACAGATATTTATGGCTTGTACTATGTACACTTGGGTTTTGCAGGATAAAAAATTAAATGGTCTTTAATGAAATTGATACCTTATTGATTAACAATACACTATCATCATTATCATCACTGTAGACTGACATTTCGTCATTGTCCTTGCACATTAATAATAATACAACATGATTTCATTAACAATAATATAAAATAATTTAAACTACAAATTAATTTTACCTTGTTGCCTGCAACTTGTCTTTCTCTGTTTGGTGATAAAATAACTTCTTGGCTGGACTGAATGGAACCAACTAATGTGCACTAAAAATAAACAAATGATTACTTATGTATGATTATATCATTGAAACCAACAAACATTTAGACATTGCATTTAAAAAAAAAAAAAAACCATACAATTATTAATGACCACTATAAATGTTATCCGTGTGACTTACCAAATTGCTTTCAGATGTTTGAGGACTTTCATTGGATATGTTGCGTATAACGCGAAGTATGTTAAACAAGCCACGCTTCTGATTTTATAGCATAAGATAACACAAAAAAAAAATCATGCAGCATGCACAGAAAATATAAAAGTAAAAAGAACCAAAATTATTATGTTGGTAGCAAAATAATAATTTCTTCAAAATACACTAAGTGTATATTATTACGGTCAATGCATAATAAAATAAATACAATTTTTATTCTAATGCAGAAACATTTGATGAGCTCGAAATAAATAATAAACCTAGTCGTCAGTTTTAGATGTGTTACAAGCATTAATTCTAACTAATATTTATTTTGATTTAATTAACTACAGTACAATATATAAGTAAAGTAATTTATTAAAAAGTCTAACAAGAATGACATTTTAAATAACCAACTTGTAAAATTAAAATAACATTTACTACACATTCTTCCATATTACATTATAATCATTAAAACAAAATAATTAATAATCCAACAACTTTAAAATCATTTTAATTAGTTACGTATGAAAATGTAATAATTTGTATATCAGCAAAAATAAATAGTTGGTATTTGAATTTTAGTTAATTAAAAATACTAAGATGCCTTAATAACTAAAAGTTACAGCTGATTGATGAATTATAGACTAAAACAAAACTTTACCTATACAGTGTAAATTATATCTCATTATTATTTCATACTTGTAAAATTTTCACGAAAAAATAAAGAAATTTATTTATTTTAGAAATGCATAGTTTTGAGTTAAAGTTATTGATATTCATGCAATAAAGTTATTACTAGTCAAAATTTAAATCTTTTTAAAAAATAAAGCATAGCATACCATTGTTTTGCCCGTCCAATCAAATTCAGAGTCGTTAACATAACCTTTTTTCTCAAATAAATTTTTGAATAATGTACGCAAATATTCATAGTCTGGTGTCTCAAAGAAATCCAATCGTCTAACATAACGTAAATACTGGGCCATTTCCTCTGAAAACATATTTAAACTGATTAGAACAAAAATCATTTCATAAACATCAATAAATACCGGGATATCCATCACACAAAGCTTCTATAGGAGTGGCTCGTTTTGTATCACCAATTTTTTGATATCTTTCTTTAAGAGTATCAGCTTTTAAACCTTGCCATGGTAATGAACCTCGTAAAAAGTACATAAACATATGTCCAAGAGCTTCTAAATCATCTCGCCGACTTTGTTCTGCAAGAAACCAAACAAACTCAATATATATCTATTATTTATACAAAAAATATATTTAAAAAATTAATTTAGGCTATTAGAGAGTTTAACTTACGAGGATACTACCCATGCACTTGTTGTCTCTGTTTTGAAAACGTACCACATAGCAAATTTTCATTCACTAGTTTCAATAGTGTGGGGTTAGTTTTGATATGGTAATGAGTTGATCTATTATCAAATTTTAAGATAAGAATATTATCTGTGCTTAAGCATTAACTTTTATTCGGTATTTTAATTTTCAAGAGAGATGAGAATTTTTAATTTTTGATATTTCATATATCCATATCTTACATGAAAATTAAAATATCAAAAATTGCTGATACATAAACATAGATAATGTTCTTTCTTACCTAAAAGTTTGATAATTGGTCAGTTTACTCTAATATCAAAACTAACAGCACACTATTGAAACTAGAGAACAAACATTTGCTATGTCGTTCGTGTGTAAGATGGAAACAATCAATGCATGGGTAGAATCCTCTTAATCATTAAACTTTAATAGTTTATAAATAATAGTGTTACGTAATTCTGTATCAAATTTCAATCTAAATAGTTAAAAATAAGGTACACCGTTAAAAAAGTATATACCCTAAAACTCAAATGATCAAAAAAAAAAAAAAAATGGCTGCATCTGAGTTGGGTACAAAAATAATAACAGTTCTAAATTGTATATGAATTGGGTCTGGGTGAATACAATATTGGGTGAACCAAATACATAATTAACGATACAAAACTGCAAAAAAACTATAAAAATAAATGTATATACCTTTTCCTAAATGTGTGTTTATGCTCATATATCTTGCTGTACCAGTTAAACTTTTATGTTCCCGGTATGGTATATGTTTATTTGTTTCTAAATCTATGTATTCTTTAGCTAAACCAAAATCTATAATAAAACATTATTTATATTAATTTATACAGTTTATGAATGTAGAAAAATTTGGAACTTGGAATTAAGTTACTTCTATTCTAGAATAGACAATATTATACTGTGACATACTCATATTATATATATAAAAAAATTGTCCAATGAATATTATTAAAATTAATTGATACATTTTGTGAAAATATTGTATTACTACCATAATAGTTGTATATTATATTTATATAAATCTGATAACGGATTGCATGAACAATTAGAGCCTATGGTTCCTTAAACATAATTTAGAGGTCCACTAATGGTCATTAAATTTTATTGAACCATTAAATACATTTTTCATGCAACCTGACATAAGTCTTAAAACTGGTTAGTTCCTTTTAAAACTCAATAAGAGATTAAAAGAATAACTGAATTTACTCAAAATAAATAAACGATTATCGTATATAGTATATATATTTCTATATAGATCAAATTCCAAATTCCTTCAGTAAACTGTATCATTATTATTAACCTATAATATGAATAGTTTTATCTTTTTTCGTTGAAGTACGACCAATGAGAAAGTTTTCTGGTTTAACATCTCTATATATAAGATGTCGGCCATGAACATATTCTATCCTGTGCAACTTTAAAACAATACAAAAATAAATTATTGATTTAATAAAAATGTAATGAAATCCAAGAATATTACAATTTTATCATCATAAAAAATAAATCACAAATTACCAATTGAGTGGCAATCATGAGAACAGTTTTGAGCGAAAACTCACGCCCACACATATCAAATAAATCCTCAAGACTGGGACCAAGGAGTTCCATGACTAAAGCATTATACTTGCCGCAAGGACCAAAAAAAAATACTTCTGGTATGCCATCTGAGAAGAAAGCAGGAGCTACGGAAGCAAACAAATATTATTATGTTAATAAAAGTTAAAAATTAATTTAACCACTTAATAAAAAATATATATATTTATCTTTACCATGAGATCCAAGTAATTTATAAAAGCGATATTCCAAATGCAATTGAGGCGCTTTGGATTTCATTGGCTCCTAAAATATTAAAAATGAAATAGGAAATTATTTAAACATAAACCTAACTATTAGTTATTGTAATTTATTGTATTACACAAATATCAACATATGTCCATCATTCAAGTATTATGCTTTATTAATTATAATATGATTCTTACCATTTTTATTGCCACATGTTCGTTTGTGTATAAGTTTTTTCCTGAAAAAAATAAAAATATATATTATAAAATAAATATAATTATTTAAAATTAAAAATCATGTGTTTCAATTAGCTTTGTAAAAATTATTTTAGTACAGTGTTTTTTCTATAACATATAAATGATATGCAACTAGTCAACAGCATTATAAATATTTACATCATCACATTAAAAACAGTTAATTCTTTAAATTGATTTTAAAATGTGACTAAGAGATTAAGGAATAGATACATATTTTTTTTATTGACATTCCATTTCAAAAAAACTATAGTATTATTCATTATATTTTTACTATTATTCAATTGACTAAAAATTTGTCTATGGTAAAAAATTAAATCTTTTATATTATGTGAAGAATATGAAAAGCATTTTGAGTAATATACAGAAGTGCATATATTATGTACATATATTATAGACATTAAGATATTAATAATGTATTTGATATTCAAAGGTATAGATGAATTTTAAGTGTAGTTAAATGAGTTTTTTCAAGAACTAACTCTCCGCCTAGATACTTGTAACTATGTTGCTAATTCAATATCAAATTACCCGGCATAGAAACTTAATTTTAAATTTACCAAAATGGACCATATAATTATCTTCATAATTTCTATAATATTCTAACAATTAAAAACTATTAATAACTGTCGTAACTTAGGGGACTCCAACCTTTATTTATTTTACAGCGGCCCAAATCTGGGATACGTTTTGACATTACAAGCCAAAGTTGTTTGGAGATGGGTGGGATGTAATGTGATTGAAAAGAGAGGAGAACTGTTTTATTATTTTCTTTCACCAATAATTTTACAAAGGAAAAGATTAATATTACTAATTTCCTAACAATAAATACAATATTAACATATACATAGTTATGATCTTAGAATTCAAAATGAGCTTGACAGGCATATATTGGAGATCCCTAGTCTAACTTAACAATTATTTTGCATACAATAATTTAAATTTAAAATAGATTTATCTGATTGAGAATATTTATTGTTATTTTATACAGTATTTAATACAATATTATTATTTACAAATTCAAGAAATTATAAAATAAAAATAAATATTTTAACAAAAAAAAAAGTTGGCACTAACTTGAATTTAGTAAGTAAAAATAAATATTAAACTGACAGTAAAATGGGCTTAAATATTATTGACCAAAAGGAAATGTATTTACCTGACAAAGGGTCTTAGGGTCAGTTGGTAAATAAGAATTTCAGTAAAATAATATGTCCAAATAAGACATAAATATTAAATAATGATCAATTCTATTAAGTTTTTTTTCCTATATTATATAAATGAACAAAAAATAGTTAAAGTTATACACATTGATGCATTTAATAAAAATAAAATTAATAAAATACCACACAGGATTTAATCAATCTAAATTAAAATCAACATAATGTATCAATATAGATACCTATGTATAATCTATGATACATTATTGTTATTCTTAATTTTAATTTTAATTTAGTAGAAACATGGTTCATATAACCCATTAGGTACTTAAAAAAATACTGAAGACTATTAATATATAATTCAGCATTTTTAGGATAATAATAATATTACCTCCAAAGTTATAATTCAATTCTTTGGAGTAAATATTTGATTTGGTAAGTATAATATTAATAAATATCAATTGTTCTTACTTTTATTTTCTCAATGAAGTTAGTACTAGCATTTTTTTTTAAAAAGTTGGAACTTAGTCATATAAGTATAAATATGATGAAATTCTAACTCACTAATAGTTCTTGCATTAATATTATTTTATTTTTAATAGCTCAATTTATTGAAATGTAATTCATAAAAATGAAAAACAAATAAAATTGTATTATTATTTTATTTTATTGAATCTATTTCATCAATTGGAACATTTTAAAATATGTTCATGTGAATTTACAGAATTACCAAAAACCCAGCTTCGACACCCTGCTCGCTATACTCAGCCCCTGGATTTTACCAACCACATCAGATGTGCAGATGTTTTATCTAAAATATTTTTTATACTGTGATTTTATTTTTGTGTCGCCATGCCAATTTTAAACACAGGATGGTATTTAAAACTGTTTTTATATAATACAGATACGTGCTTACTAATTGTATAGCTAACCTAACTATACATTTCATACTTATCTCATTTTCTAGTACTTATTGTTCAATTAAAATCTTTAATCAATTTCATTGAATTTTATTTACTTTTCAGAACTATATATTTTTCATACCTAAAACCTAATACTTATGAAGAAAAAAATATATTTATGTAAATGTATAATAATATTGGAAACAGAAATAAATACAAAAAAAATATAATTTATTAATTGATAATTCAGACTTTGTGGTGTAACCAAGATCTTGAAAGGTTTCACTCTCCGACTAGGTAATGTGCCGGAAATTATCCAATAGTAAAGGGTAAAAATAAAATGTTTGCTGGTTATAAAGCTATACACGAAAAATATAAATGAAACTTAATGATGACAAACATACAATGTAAATGTTTGCACCCGCCACCCAGTCCTATTCTCTTGATCTTTGTAAACAATGTCAACTAAGTACATAAAGTAAGCAAAAAGGGCAAAACCTTATCAATCATAGATTGATTATATTCTCAGAATATAACCAAATTGTAATTTATGAATGTATACAAAATTCAATACTATAGTATTGAAAATATCTTTTTACATCAAGATATCTCTAGCAAGTAATCCTGCATTCTAGGAATAATGACAACTTTAATATTATCTACTTACAAATATTGTATTTATCAAAATTATTTTCAGTGATAAATAACTGATGAATATTTAGTAACAACTATGAAGTAACAATTAATATATTTTAACCATACCTTATATTTTAAGATATGATGAAAAACATATTTGTTTAAAAATATTTTATATTTAATACATTTTTAATTATTTCAATATACAGCCTGTGTTTCAGTCATCAAATTTAAAAACACCTAAACTCCAAGTATAGTTTTAATACCTAATCAATAGTAATTATATTATTATTAAACCCAAACAACCCATTTATTCAAAATATTTTAGCATGCACAACAACCTTAACACAATAAATACCCTAATTTAACAGAATATATATTTTTAGTAGTTTAGTTATTTAGTTTATTTATTTGATAGGTAGGAATATTTTTATTGAATATTTCTTAAAATTGGTTATGGTAAAATCCATAAAATAAATAATAACTATATTTAACCCATTAGCGCCGTGCGTTGCCATATGGCAACATAGGTAGACCTATTTTTAGAAGCTAATTTCTCATTGGGAATTTGACCAATAAAAAAATTTAAAAAAATAAATAAAAAAATTTCGGCGCTAATGGGTTAAGTCAAATAGAATGACATTAGACATTAAAATTCAAATACAATCAATAATTACTACAAAACTTGACAAAAAAAATGTTACGGGTCACTTTGCTAATGTTTAAAAGGATTAATAAAACAATCCTTTTATTAAGAGTTCAAGTTTAATTTAATATATTATTGAAAGTATACACATAGGTAATGCATTTATATATAATGCAAAAAAAATAATAGAATAAACAGTTTTAAAACATTACAATTATAAATATTTTTTAATTTTTATAACAATAACATTATTATGATAAAACATTATTAACCAATACAATTATTAGTTGTTGTTATTATTATTCATTGTGTTGGTATTAAACATTTTTTTCAGTGATTTAAAAAGTTTAAAATATAGGCAATAGAGTACTTATATTTAATGTTATCAACTTCAATAATAGCTCTATGCAACTACATTTTTTTGAACTACACAGTGTAAATAATATTTCTTCTGTATGATGGAAACAATGAATATAATACATGATATGAGATTTACTAAGAACTTAACTTCAAGAATAAATATCATAACATTTGAAGAACAATTTATAGCAGTTTGGTTTGATTAAAAACTTTATCCAGCTTAAGGAGACACCAAACAACTCTGAAAAGCAAACAATATGTGAACTAAAATATTTAAAAAAATTTTAATTAGTCATAAAATTAATTTATGATATGAGCTTTTGAACATTTATTTATTGAATTGGTATAATAGAAACTTTGAGTTAAAACCTCAAGTACATTAATACCCTATACTACAGCCTATACAATCTAATCTAAAGCTACAAATTTTGATAAAAAAAATCTAGAAAATTAGAATAAAGAATACAAACTTTTAACCAGATTCTAAACCTTTCGAAATAAAAACTATTTGACCCACAAATATTACCATGAAATAGGTACGGCTAACCTTAAATAAAATTCTCAGAACTTTATTATAATAAAACATCAAGTAGTCAGCACTTTCCTATATTTTAAAATTATTATGTTACACCTCTACATACAAGTACAATATACATATAAGTATAACATATAATTGTTAAGAATTTGTATTTTGTAAAAGTCTACAAGTTGAATAACAATTGTTCTTACTTTTGTCAATACTTGTGGAAAATTAAAAAAATGACCTGGGTACTGACCTAAAATATCTAAGGAGGTATAGGTCAAATTTTCAATTGATAGAGCTACTTGAAGCTTTTGAACCACTCCTACCAGACAAAAATATACCTAACAGAAATTAAAAAGGTAATCACTGTAAGACCAATATCATTAGGTAGATTACATGATTCTTGAAAAATTTATGACATTTAAAACTTTAAGGGAATTTAGAGAAAAATAGTTCAAGCAAAATTTTTAATCATCACAAAAACTTAAGCACAGTAATTAAATGAATCTAAGATTATAATTTTTTTTAAACTAAATTATGGTTGATACAATTACCACATAAAGTTAAAGTTAACTATTTTTAATATAATATTATGACCACGAAAAGTTTTTAACTTAATTGAGAACAAAAAATAATAATATACAGGGTGATTTTTAAGCATGCTAACCCTATTAGTATGTTTAAATTATGCATAATATTATATTCAAATTATAATTTTTGTAATTTTTTAATAGTAGTTAACGATGATATCCAAATTATCGAATATTATAAGATTTTCCACAAAATTAAACGAGTATCCTGGGGCGATACTAACAATGGGTTTTCAAATCAAAACACATGTTTTTATGAAAATTGTGAATCAGAGGAATTCTTTTGAAACGGTTGACATATTTTAATAAAAAGGTTCTAAGTTATTATACTTTAAGTACCTACTAAGGACAGTAGTCTATTAAATATTTTTTATATGTACACAAGCTCAGCAATTATTAAAAGGTATATTCCTTGGTATATTATTTATTTTTGTTTTAAAAATGATTGGGTGCTTTATTAATCCATAAGCATTTTGTGATATTAAAAAAATGTCTGAGTATACTTGACCAAGTACTAAGAAGTAATTATTAAAAATTATTATATATTGCATACATTTTAATAATTACTGAGCTCCTGTCCATTACAAAGTATTTATCATTAGTATTTTGAGTAGAATAACTAAGAAACTTTTTATTGAAATTACGATTACATGTCAACATTTTCTGAAAAATCATCTGATTCACAATTTGTATTAAAACATGTAGGTTCTCATTTTATGAACAATGTTGGTATCACAGCATAATGTTCTTTAAATGTTGTGAAAAATCTTAGTATTCAAAATATTGTGTTTAAATACACTTAAAAATTCAACAATTCTAAATTTGAATATTCATAATTTAAACATAAAAATATGATAAGCATGCTTGAATAATCATACCGTATAAGGTATTATTCAATGGAATTCAATAAAAATAACAGTAGTATACACATATTTCTGAATGTAACCATTATACACAATACCTAAAAATTACAAAATATGTTTATTAAAAATTTATAACATGAGTAATCTAAAATAATTATAATAAGGTAATCTAGTTAACTGATGTATGGTAAAAATTATAGGGACATTCAGATAAAAACCATATTTAATAGGTACCTAAGTAAAATAAAATTGTATACATTATTTTTTTTATTAAAGAAACCTACTTATACGATTTCAAAGTACATTTCTAAAAATAATATACACTAACAACAATTTTATTTTTAATAATATAAATTGGTATTTGTCCTACCCATAACATTGAGCATAAATGCATAACCTAATATTTTTGAATCCTAAAGGTTATTAAAACGTCCAACATTTTGCGGTAGGTATAAATATTTATAATATTTACTATAGTAAATTTATTCCCTGTACAATAATTGAGTAATAGACAGTTTGTCAGGTACCTAATTATTATTTATTTGTACTACGTAATACGTCTTCCTACTCTATTACTTATAACTAGGTCCTGGAACTTAATGCATTTGCATTTTTTTTTTTTTGCTCTAATACACTTATATTATTATTTATCTTTTCAGAAATTTGATTCATAACATAAAGAATATACTTAAAGGTACAATTTTTGCTTCTTATGGTCATTTAATGCATCTTTATTCTTTCAAAAGAATACATTGCAGTTATATTGTTTTTTTATTAGACAATTCAGTTGGTACCTATATACCCATAATAAATAACTAATTCCCTTATTCCAAAAATCTTAAAATGGTCTTAAAAACGCAGACAGACTTATATAATATCAATTTACCACTTTCATATACCAAAAGTTTGACTTGTTAGCTAGATTGTGTTTAGTATGAAATAATTAATCATGCCATTGCCTGTTATATAATAGTTTTTGTAGTTATTTTTGTTTTCTTATTTATCTTAATAAGATTAAAAACTGGGAATACTGATATATTAACATAATTTTACTCTATAAATTTAGGACATTTTATTGGGCATTTTGTAGTACCTATTTGTTTATGTATTTTAGAAATATATTATCACAAAAGGTTTACTAATAATAGGTAATTGTTGTAATAAAAATATATTTTATTTAATCTAGATAAAATAGGTACATCAATTATATTGTGACATAAATATTAAATAATTCAAGTGTGAATGAAAAAAATAAGAAATACTTAAAGAGAAATAAAATAGCTGAGGGTTCCATTATAATATGTGGTTTTAAAAAATTAATATGTAGTAACAATATTTGAATTCCACAAATTACTGGAGTCTGGAAATAGATAAATTTATTGTATATCTTCTTCCTTTCAAAAGTATTCTTTTGCATTATTTTACGGAAACATTTAGAGGGGCCTAGGCACTTAGCCAAATTACCAGCAAATAATTATTAAGATACCTAGCCAAATCATTTGAAACTGTTAGATGGATTAAACTTTTTTAAGGCTTGTTATACATCCCCTTAAGTAAATTAACTAACAACTTTATTGTCTATTGTGATTTAACTATGCCTTACATTAGTTTATTATAAATTAAATTAACTGTAAGGTAATAAAATTTTATTTTAATTAAGATTAAATTGTCTTAAATGTCTTGTAGCAAACATTTCCAAACGGTTAATTATCTTCAATGGGTTATTGATTAAATGCATTTGTAAATAAACGGTAATATTTACATAATTGGCCACGGGAAAATAAAATGATCTAATTATCATTCACCCTGATGTAGTGATACACATACGTTGAATTCAAATGTTATGTTATTGACACTATCGAGTAGGAAATAGAAATCCCAATAGTGAACTATGACGTATTGAACAGGTACGCGAAGACGAGCAACACCTAAATACGTAGTTTCATACTTTATACACCAATAACTCGTGGACAGACCACAACGTAGTGATGCACGTTATTTTGAAATTGGAGAACAATAAGCAGACCAATCGTCTCCGTCATACGTATGTCTCGTCAAGCGGCAGCACCTATCGGCTGTCACATATTATAATATTGATATTGTCTATTTACCGAGTCTCAGTTCCCCGAAATTTCCACAGCCGATCTTCTTGCCAACGCGGAAATTCGGGCCGACCATGAGCACACTGGAGTTGGCTGACGATGACAAGCCATGTCGTCCAGCGACTGCTGAATGCATTGCCCTCGATCCGGTGGACTTTCCGCCGCGCTTGTCATCCTTGCCGTTCTGTTCCTTCTCCCGGTCCCTCTTCTGCATGGCGCCTAAATGTGTATACGATCCTCGGCGAAAAATCGGCCAATATTAGCTCATTGTACGCCGAAATTTGTTACGATTCTCCCGACGTTCACACGTTGTGACCCGAGACAATAAACACTGTTATCATTGCGTGAATTTTTTTTCTTTCCGACGAATTTATAATACGCCGACCCGAAACGGAGCGCCGGTCTTACCAGTGCATTTTTCCCGTACGGCTGTGGACCAATTAAAAAACAATAGTTATATTAAAACATACGGTTAACCGTGTTGAAATTGAATAAAATTGAAAACGAAACAATTGCAGCTGAAACTCTCCATTTTTTTGTGACTGATTAAAAAAAATTATATATATATATATATATATATATTACATAAAAGTGTGTGTGTGTGGATATGTATATACATAGTACATATATACATTCACTAAACATGTGTTTCGGTATCAATTCCACTAGAGCGCGGTAGTATCGCCGAGTACAAAGAGAATACAATTCGACGGTATACGATTTTTTTTTTCTCTATTGGCAATATACTCTTAAAATTCCACTTCAATTTTACTATTAAAATCTTGCGAAATTATGCCCATCAACAACATTTCGGCTCGACGTTCGCGTATTTAAGACGAACCGTCAAACATTGTTGTTTATCTATTTTACCTTTGTGTCTGATATGCAGTCAGTGTCGGTCTGGCTCGCATGATTGGGCCCCAACGCCCCACACAAACTTAAAAAATGTACCTTCCTTTCGATACATATGCCATGATATTATTGCAATAAAATTAATTTACTTTTATATAAATAATAATTTATTAGATTCCGATTCGGGTTATTTGTTATTATAATAAATTTAAAAAAAAAAAAAAAATACAATCAAAGTTTTACATGTTATTGTACTTTATTTACAATTGGTACACATAAAATAGAAAAAAAAAATTTAATTAACATTAATTAAATGAATTATTATTAAAATAGAATTTTTTTTTAAATTAATTGCTGGAAGATCCCGACATATTAATAACACAGAATAAATTGATTCATCTTTGTTTATAAGTTGAATGATGCGTCTTCTTCAATAAACAGACTGCAAAATTAATCAGTATCCATATATACCTACCATGAACTAAGATATATCTTAGTTCATGATACCTACTTAACATATTATGATTCGGCTTATCAATTATAAGATCAAAATGTTGAAAACACTCGTTCACTCTCAACTTGTGCGCACAGAAGTTTTTAAAACGTATTTGAATGCTATAGGTGTATTGATACACTATTTGCTACAATCATGCTATAATCTATGTTGAATAAATTAGAGAGTCTAGGTAATAATTTAAAGGCTCTCTAGAATAAACCAGACGTTGTCGTTAAATCAAAAATAATTTGAAGTGTACTGCACTTTATTATAGCTGACGACTATGTTAATAGTGACTCAAATAAACAATGCCCCATTTGGCGGGCCCCAAAAATTGAAAAATATCCACGCATGGGCCCGGGGCCCATTTGGGAAATCACCGGGTGTTGTCGGCCAGACCGACATATTGTCTCCGAGAGTGGTACATCCGCATCGACCTTATATAACTTCTTATGATGGGTATATTATCATAATTATAATATTTATTAGTATATTTTTTATATATTATATAGGTTATAGGTACAGGGTGAATCACCACCGAGCATACTCACCCATACTTTTTTTTAATAGGTAATAATTGATTTATCACCTATATATATCTGCACTCTGCAGGATCATATTTGATAAAATACTTAGATTTTTTATGCTATTAAGGAGTGTCTGGTACGGCTGTACTCCTGTGAAGATACCTAAACACTAAATTTGTCAAATAAAAATTGCCCAGCTTTTTTTTAAAAATTGTTAATTAAAAGAGGAGTTTTTTCAAAATGTTGATGTAAGTAGAAATAAATAGAAATTGAAAGGAGTAGTTTTTGTGTACCTATATTCAACTTTGTGTACTAATTGGTATAATAATTAAGGATAATGGGTTTGGAAGATATAGCGAATGATAGAGGTTTAAAGCTATAAAGGTATTGATAAATGATAAATGATAATAAATTGGAACATTTTTGTACTTATAGCCTATAGGTATACCTATAATTGATATTAGATAATCTATCAACGTTTCATAATTTATAAAAATTGTCCTACTACCTATGCTACTATAATAAATATTAGATCCAATATTACTTCATGGCCATAGGCCACATCTATTTTATATTTTTATAAAACCATTTTTATGGACTAGGTTGTCTTTACGAGACGTTTTGGTACGTAGTACGCACCTACCTACTGAAATCAACATTTTCAAAAAAATCATTTGCTTAACAATTTACAGTAGACAAGGTTGGTTTTCATTTTTAGAAATAGGCCTATCATAATAGACTTAAATTTTGGTATAAAAATCTAAATGCCTAATTAGAAATATTAAATATGGTCCTTAAATACCTACTTGAATGTTCCTAACATTTGAATTTGAATAAATTATATTTACAGAAATACGTTTCCGTCTTCAGATGAAATAATCAGAAGATAATACAATATGCCTAGGTATTAATCAATAAGTAGATATACTTTAGTTCAGAATATTCAGTATAGTGCACATATGATAACAAGGGTGAGGGGAGAGGGGTAAACCCGCCCTGAAATTTTTTTGACGTGTCATTCTGTACAGTATTTTACTTCCTTGATTTTTAATCAAGTAAGTATGGTAATTGAAATGAAAAAAGTCTGAATTTTAAAAACTTCAAGACTGTGTTAAATAGGAAAATAATAAAAATGTAACTCAGTAATGATGAGTAGACGGGTAATTTAACTAGCTTTAATATAAAATATTAATGAGAGAGATTTGATTTCACACCCAAGCGGTATAATAAGGCAGGGGCGTCATTTGGGGGGGTGCAGGGTGTACATTTGCACCAACATTTTTTTATAAACGCCTTCTTTGGCCTGCCAACAATAAATATAAGCGCCGATATACCTAAGTGTTATATATTAATATATTATATATAGGTATTTTATATTTTTTCAGTATTTAAAAAAAAATAATAAATATTATAGGTACTAATGGGTTTTATTTCCAAAAATGATCTATGTGGTTGTGTGGTTATATCATTGACATAATATAAAATAATAATAATATAATTATGTCTATGGGTTATATATATTTTTTTATTCTCTACCATGATATTATTACCATCGAATATATAATAAATCTGTGGGTATAATATTATGCTGGTATAGATTTCTTATCAAGGCGGGTTCACACTACACCGTGTCGTGTAATATAATCACGGTTACCTAAGTTACCAAACGATACAGCATAGTTGAATATATTCAACTTTTGACCGTGTGGTTACATTAAGTATGAACCCGACTTTATCTGCACATAAATGTAACCCACGGACTAAGATATAATGGACTGGAAACGACAAGGTGGGCGGGTGACGGGGGACGGCCCGCAAAAGGTGTCTCTGTTATCATCAACACTCATAATCGAATGTTTTCAGCGCTACCAGTGGTTTTATTTTGCGTCACATTTTGTATCTCAGTCCATGTTTTATACAGAGGGCGCTGTAAACTCTCGATTATGGTTGCGACCCCCCGCATTTGCTTCTTGTACATACTTTCGAGGCCACTGATAAGCTGCTCGTTTCCAGTCCATTATATCATGATGTAACCACACGGTCAAAAGTTGAATATATTCAACTATGCGGTATCGTTTGGTAACTTAGGTAACCGTGATTATATTACACGACACGGTGTAGTGTGAACCCGCCTTCACGCTTTGGTATCTCCCTACTCGTTATAATAAGAAAACAACATGATATATAATTCCCATTAATAGGGAAAAAATTGTCTAAAAATAGCAACCACAGAATATTATTTGTTTACATTTTTAACCTTGTCACTTACTTTCTATGGTAGAAATGATATTCTATGGTAGAAATTCTACCACCAATTTTAATTAGTACGTCGAGAGTACGATTGTTCTAGTCGTTATAGAGAAAGAAGTGAAATACTTAATAATATATATTATATAATAATAATAAATTAAATTAAAATTTAGTTAAATTTATTAATTTAAAGTTAAATTAAAATTGATGTGGAAAAATTTAGAAATATGAATTAAGTATATTGTGCCATTTTGAACAAGGTAACCCATAATACAAATTTCAGGTTTAGGCGTTTAGCTATATTATTTATTTTGAGTGTGCAGGGAGAAAAAATGTATAGGTTAGGTTCGATTAAGTACTATTAAGGTGCTTTATATCCATAAATTTGCTTACCAAATACAACTGACATCCATAATATAATATAAACTTATTAAAAGTACCTACACATAGTTCTTCAAAAATAGTAATAATATTGTGAAGTTTTCATACTAATATAAGTGACGTATTAAATATATTTTACAAATATTCTACAGTTTTTGTCCCCACTAGACCCCCCCACTAATGAAAAAAAAGTTTTCTATGTGGCCTGATAACAATTTGAATGGCCTGCAAACATTTTCGCACCAACAAAAAAAAAGTTGAAATGACGCCCCTGTAATAAGGGGTTGAATCCATAAAAACGTCGGCGTGAACAGTCCCGAAATTTCTATTTTTTTTTAACTTTTCTCCTAAACTATGATAGTTAGAAAGTTGGTTTATAATTCATTAAAAGGGATTATCAAGTAGATATACAATGTGGAATTGTTATTATTATTTTTTAATTATTTCATTTTTCACAGATAAAAAAAAGTTATTTTTCGCTAGATTTTCATTTAGCGAGGTAGATTTCAGAAACTAGAGAACGGATTTCGTTGTTTGGGGTCTTGTTAGATTTACATTAGCTAGGAGAAGTGCAGTGAAGGTTTTCAAACCTTTATCTCCAATCCACTACACAGCTGTAAAACTGAAAATCATCAAAAAACGCCCAATAAAATTTGCTTTAATTTTTTTATGTGCTGTAGTTTAATTAACTATTAAAGATAATAAGTT